TTAGTTTTTGGCTTGGTTCGGTTGCGTTGACAACCGCTCTTTAGGAAATAAGTCTGGCCACAGGGATCGCTGCCCGCGAGCAACCGCGGAGCGGAGCGGAGGCCACTTAAAGCTAAAAAACCGAGATTCAGCTTGGCCCGGTGCACATTCTACCTGCTGGACCCCAAGATATACGGCCATGGGAGGACCACAACACTCACTCAGACAATTCACGATCGCACTTGGGCGGCATCAATGTGCACAGTTTGTTTACGACTCTGTTTACTTCCTAAGAAAAACGCAGGGTTAGCAAAAAAGACTTGAAAAAAAGCCATTGCAATACATTGTGACAGGGTTTTTTTTTTTAAATACAACGCGTAATTTATAGAGAAAAGACTTTTTAACAATTTGGTTTTGAATAATGAACACATACAAAATAATTGGCAATTTGGGAATTTGTAATGAATTTGGCTGAACTACTGAATATAGCTTTGCAGCTTATTTCAAATAGTGGTGAAAAAGCCCCATAATGTTTTAAATTGATTAGCTTTTAATTTCACTTTTAACTTATATTTTGAATTAAATCTATTTTTCTTGTTTTGTTTATTTTTTTTGTTTTATAAACACCATTTCAATATACACTTTCGCGGTAAAAGTAAAATAGAGGCCGAGAAATAATACAGATACCTTAGGGGAATATTTTCTTACGGAACCCTTAATTCTGAATTGTAGAAAATATTTTTATATTTTGAATATAAGCTTGCTGTTTATTTAGAAAAAAAATTCTTTAATAAATAATAATAATAACCTTTTTCTTTAATATGATCAAATTCGCTCAAACACTGAAATCAATGGAGATTTTTGAAAATGAAAGGCGATTTTTCTTATTTCTTTCACTGGGTCAAAATAAAAACTATGTTAATTTCTAATTCTTAATTTTATTTTTTTTATTTTTTAATTTAATTTAATATTTCAGCCCAGCGCCACAAGCATACTATGAAAACATTAAATATAAACATTATTGACTTAAGACTAGCACCTATAAATTATCTTATTTGAAAGAATTTTATTATATTTCAATGTATACGTTTATTTTTTTAATAATAATTATTATTTGTAAATTTCTTTAAGTCTTTAATAGTTAGATCCGTGGGCGCAGATGTGAATTCAAGGATGTATATATCTTTTCGACGCTTATTTTTCTGCGTGCAGGAAAAGTCGAATCCGATCGGCGGAAGATCCAAAAGAAGGCTAGTAGTGCACTTGTCGAGCCAAAGACTGTGTGTGCAAACCAGTCGAATCGGGCAACGTCGGCGATGGCGATTGCGTTTGCAGACCCCACCTGGTTGCGGATCTCGATTTCTGGCTGCATTTCGACATCTCACCCAAAATGCGACAGCCCGAGGTGCATTTCCGTGAAAATAATTGGCGCTGGCCAGGCCGATGGCTTTGCACGCTTCCTTTTGGAGTCCCGTAACCAGAAACCAGTTTGCTTTGGCCAGCGCACTGATTTAGTTTCGACTGCGGATTGCATAAGTGCGATTGCCAACGCATCGCAACGTATCGCATCGCATCGATGTTTCTGTTTGTGTTTCCTGGCCTGCCGTCCCCATTCCCCATTCCCCATTCCGCAGTCCAACCCGTCAGTCTGTCTAATTAGTTTCTGGAACGGTCTGCTCTGGCCATAAATTATGTGGCCCGCAAATGACAAACCGCCGACACAATCACTCGTTATACGATACGTCCCTGGATTATCGGGTTCGATTTGGCTTCTGGCTTCTGGTTGCTGCCCCAGTCAGCAACTATAATTTGGTACGCATTCGATACTATTCTGCGAACACTGCAAACTGCAGTTGGAGCGGGTGGCAAATTAAAATATTTCATTATACAGCTGATGCAATTATTCGTGACACAAAATTGGTTTTGTTGCGCTGCAATTCGATTAGGCTGGTTTTAAGCGCAATTCGATTACACTCCTCTTCGCTAATTATCTCATGTTTAAATTTGTAATTATGCGAATTTGGTGAGTTGCAAGTGCACCAACATGTCATACCAATTCCCCAAGTAGGTATGCAGTAATTATGTCACAAAGCCTTTGCACTATCAACATTTCTCCTACCAAGCAGCATTATTTTAGAGTCTGCATTAAAAAAATAACAATTCAAAAATGTGTTTATAAATGCACAAGTACCCAAAATAATGTGAAGTTTGTTTGAAGTGTTCTAATCCAAAAATTAACATCTACCTATCGATCCATTTTACAAAACATGATGGTATTATTTGTTTTTTTTTTTTTTTTTTTTATTTAATTTTTATTTACAATCTAATGACAATAAGTAATTGTAAATTTCCAGTGAAACCTGCTATTAATTTAATTTCTCGTTTACTTAAATTTACCTATCAGGGAGATCAAGAATGTCTTCTGAATGTTAAGCTATTGTCTACTAGACCTAGGGCTAAATTATTTACATGATTGTGAAGTCTTTCTGTATAAATATAAATATAATATATATATATATAAATATAATATATATATATAAATATAATATATATATATAAATATAATATATACATAAACAGTACAAGCATTATTCACTTAGTGTGACACTTATTAGTATAGTTTACACTTTCAAAAATATTCTGGGAAAAGTAAAAGACCGTATCCTAAATAGTTCTTTGAACGACAGCGTTCCCTTCAATTAACTACTTTTTCAAAGGTTACACTGGTTACCCCCGTAAGCCACTACCCCTAAGAGTCACCTACATACAAAATGTCTGTCACTCAATTACTAAACGTCAAATACAAAAATCGCAAAGACCACAGGTAGTTTTTTTCATGTTTGTTTCGGTAAATATTGTCTGCCTTTCTTTTCAAATATTTTATATTACAGCAAGGGGCAATTTGTGGTAAATAACCCAAATGGTGAAGCTGAAAACGTAAGCTGCGTTTGATTTAAGCACAATAGTCACACAGACGCACAGCACAACGGATACTTTTCATCCGGCCCGACCTTTCGAACCAACAAACTTGCCAAACAAAAACTAACCATGCATGAGAAACCGCTTTCCGCCCACTTCCACCCATATCGTCGTTGGAACTACTAATTATAACACTTTCCTGTCCGGACCACCGGACCACCGGACCACAGACCCCCAGAGCAGCAGAGCCCCATTGGAAGAACAATTAAATGGATGTTACCAGGTTAGGCAAAAATGGAGACTTTTAACTTCTGCCTCGGTATATGGGTATGGGAATGGGAATGGTAGAACTTTTAACTTGTGCCGCACACATTTTATGTGCGACTACAAATTGGGGACTTTTATTTGACATGGCATGGGCATTTTTCGACAGCACAAGCTTTCAAAGTTGTGCTGTTTTGCTGTGTGTTATTGCTAAAGTAACTGTTAAGTTTTATGGGAAGCCACTTGATTTTATTAGGAGCGCTCGTAAAATCATCGTCCGTTGTAAACGGTTCGTTCAGCAACAGAAATGGCCTGGACCGAACTCGCCCTTCACTCGATGGACTTGCAGAATGGCAGGACTTGGCTGGTGCAGGACCTCTAATGCAAACACAAACTCCGAATGAGTGCATGTTAATCGCGCCTGGGGGAAACAAAGGGAAAGGGAGAGCGCCGTGGAGCAGCACTTAATGTAATGTGAGGAATTAGTGCTAATTGAGCTAATAGTTCTGGACCTAATCGTTATCGATTCACAATTAAATAAAAGTGTAAAAAAACTAGGATTAGTCTTCTATCAGCTAGCCGCCAAACTACAAAAAAATAAATATTATATAGAATGTAAGTTGCCTGAAACATTATGTCTTACTACACCCAAAGAAAACCCACATAGTAAAATTAAACAATAAAATATTTGAATGTACTATTTCAGATGCAATTTTTAAAAAACTGCAAGAACTTTAAATAAAATTTAAAATCAAATGTTAAAATAACGAAATATTCAAAATAATACTAGTGATTGTACCGATTTCTTTTGTATTAAATGTAACTTTAATTTACTTCTAATTTGATTACGCGTTTAATTAAAAGGCCTGTCTTCTAGCGCTTTTCTAGTTTTTCCGATGGAGGAACCGACAAAACCCCTTTTGACCTGGCCAAAAAATTTCTTGTGTGATGTGATGATGCGCAAAAATAGGTGTCGCAAATATGTGGCATTGAATTATTTTAAATTGTTTTATCTTTAGCTTTGTTTTAATTATAGTTATAATAGAAAACAATTCGAGGTCAAAGTGGTTATGATATTTGCATAACGTTGTGTTTTGGTTTGATTATGGCTTGTCGATGCTCTCTCTTCCGAGTGGGCGAGTTGGCTTGGGTGGTTGGTGATGGGACGGAAAAAGTCGATGACGCAAGCCAAATTCGAGTGGCGGATCTGCGGATCTGCGGCTGACAATGACCATCGCCTTGGAATCGGCGAAGCAATCGGTTAATGGTTGTGATTGTGCTCCACAAATGGCTCAGTCGGATCGCGGCGACACCACAAGGTGCTTGCCCCCAACGGAGGCAAGTTGCTATTTGCTAGTTGCAGGTTGCAAGTTGCAAGTTGCCAGCTGCGAGCTACGAACTGCATGTTGCTGCTGGTGGCCAGTTTTAGCTGCAAGCACTGAAAAGCAGCAACGCAGACTATAAAACGGCGCAAGGCTGGCGAACCAATTTCACTCTCACTTTGTTGGCCAACACGCGAGCTAGCGATTTAAGCCGCCAACTGTTAAATCGCGAGCGATTCCGGCGCGTTAACTTAACCACAACAACAACAACAACAATCATAACTAACTAACAAAATCAACATCCGAATGCATTAAACAAATATCCGTGAAAAGTGTTTATAAATTTGTTTGTTTTAAGTTTTTTTCATTTTTGTTTTGGTTTGCCGCTTTTGTTAACGTTGGCTGGCCCGCCACACGAATCGAATTTTAATTGAGTGACAGAAGGAAACCGAATTAAATCGAAAAAAGTGAACACACAAAACAAATTATATATTTACGCATATGTATGGTACACATATATATTGGTTTGAATAAATAAAGCAGCAACTGTAATAATGCCTCTTATACGGGTAAATAATGCAAAATAGGATTAAACCCATATAATTGAAATCGAACGCACTGAAAGTTGGCAATCAAATATTGATAATGACATAAAATCAGCGCCTATTTTAATTATTTCCACTTGATTGCTTGCCATCGTGTGCATTCTGATAATCGAAGAGCGATGGTGTTTACTTACACTTATTTATTATGTATTATGTATTATTTGTTATTTATTATTTATTTATTTTCCAAAGTACAATAATTGACAGTGGACTCAGTTTATACAAAAAGCTCCTTCAAATCAAAAACTGTTTTATTAAGATGTATTGCATATTAATGCAAGTTTATATATTTAGTTTTCTATGATTAACAACCACAAATGTAGGCTTTTAAGATAACCTTTCTACACTGGTAGAAAATAAAGTTATTAATATAACAAATATTAATAAATATTTTGTATTCAATTAATAATTTTCCGTTTAATTTTCATCCATTGTTCATCTATGGTTTTTATTTATTTTATATATGAACATTTTAAAAAATTATTGAATTTTTTATTTGATTTATTTCGGATTTGATTTAAATATCTGAAAACTTCATTTAAATGTAAACCATATTTAACTTAAATAAAATGCGTTTTAGTCAACTAGGAACTATTTTAAATTATATATTATCACATTAATTTAAATTTGTATTATTTAACCATGTAATTTAATATGCATTGTTATTATGATTTCAAAATTAATTTAAATATTTAATATACAATTTTAAGTTCAATAGTCAGATGTGTATTTTTATTATTAAATTTCGTTATCAGTGTATATATAGGTTTGACCCCCTGACTTCATTCGTCTAAAGATGATATTACCAGTCTAGAAAAATAGGAAATATTTGAATATGACATTCGTTCATATAACTAGAATCCATCCAATGTCTTAATATTTCTTGTGTTATTTGCCAATATGTAGTACCCCAAAACAAGAGTCTGTTCAGGCCATGACCTTTTCATTCGACCAATCAGTGCTCATGTAATTATGCCATCATAGATGAACCCATTCACCCAAGGCAGTCGACCTAACTGGTCGCCATAAACCAGCCCGAGACACTTCTCATTCAAAAGATCGGATCAAATTTACCACAAATGAGTAATAGCCGTGAACGGATTACCATGGGGATGGATGAAATCGTATTTGCTGCTATGCAGCTCATTAATAATTACCTTTGTGCCAGGTTCATTGTACATCGCTTGGCTTAATTACGAGCATTAGTTATTAATCGCGTGTGCAGTGGAATAATACAAATAATAGTGTGTGACAAGAGCGGAAAACAATTGCACTTCGGTGGATGAAATTGCTATAATTGCATATAAATCAATTTAATTAAATTATTATTATTGCAGTGAAAATATTTTCAATCAAGCCATTTTTTCCACATTCAATGTACTAAATTAATAATAAGGACTGCAAAGCGAATCGAGAATTGAGTTGATTTCGCTATCGATTTCGACTTCGATTTAATTTCATGCAATCTTATCTGCTCTCCGTCCATGGCCAGGTACTATCCGCAATCGCCTGCTGCTGCCTTTTGGCGACCTGTGGCGGCGAGGAGATCGAGGCGGTGTCCTCCAAGGTCGCGGACAAGGTCGAGGCCGTAGCCACCACCAAGCTGACCCCAAGCATCGAGGAGGATGCCAAGAGCAAGACGGAGAAGCGCGACTCATCGGATCAAACAGGTACAAAACAAAATTGGGCAAAGAAATTTCGTTTGGGTCACGGTTTTGGAAAATATGCCAAATTGTTCCTTAAAATAAGATTATACATTGGCTGCAAGAAAAACAAATATATGAAATAATCCAACTATGCTCCATTTACAAATGTATTTATGTTTTCCGAATTACTGCTTATAATTAGCATGTTATACTTTAGTGTTTTAATAGCTTTAATCCGAATAAGGGTAAAATATTATAGAAAGTGATTGAATTTTATTCGTATGCTTTATTTCAAAGCAGTGAAGTTTTAATTGTGTTATATTTTCTATAACTGTTCCAATTAGCTTTGGACTGTTTCTAAAATAAAATAAATCAGATGTTTGATTTAGCACATTCCTTCAGATTTATGGGCTCCCATTGCAGTACAAACGACATACTTCGATTTAATATTAATATTAAATAAGAATTTTGAAATATGAAATATGAACAGTAATTAAAATTTTCCTTAACATGTTATGCACTTTATTGTATTTCATGTCTATATAAAAATTATTCAAAAAATACCATTTTATAATTTATTTTAAATAAATAAATAAATTAATAAAATCTTAATAAAAGATATAGACACGGTTATTATAGAAAAATCGCTTAAAATGTGTTTTACAGAATGTAAGGATTTTATTCTTTTTAACCATAAACCATTAATTTAAGTTATTGGCCAACACTTTCCAGACTTCCAAGCATAAGTCACTTTATCATATATGCTCTACCAAAAACTTATTAGAAAAGTGCAAATTTAAATGTTCGGAAACCCTTGTAAATAATACAAATAAGCCCAAATCTTCTGCTTTAAAAAGGGAAACTCTGACTTTAAGGCTACAAATAAAGTGGCAACCAATTGACAAGTTGATTATTGTTATTGGCTATGCAATTATTCCACTGCAGGTACCCCGTACTTCGGCCTGTCGAGCAAAGAGCCGCCGTTCCGACCGATTTATCCGCCCAGCAGCCGCTTCGAGTCGGAGCCACCGACGCAAATCTTCGGGCCCACCACACTGCGCTACACAGCAGCGGAGGCAACCCCACCACAGGTAGGTGCACAGGCCTATGCCAACTAGTCCGGAGTTCGGACCACGGACCGCAGCAAATGCACTTAATTACCACCGCCCTTTCCCCAGGCCTTCCACGGACAGAAGGGGCAGTCGCACCACCGCTTCAGCTTTGCAGTGCCACCGCAAGTGGAGCCCTATCAGCGGCAAGCCGCCTACAAGCCCGTTGCCACCCCTCCACAGTCACAGCCACAGGCGCAGGCGCAGGCGATTTACAATTACGGCGAGCTTGAGCCGACAGCACCACTGGGCCACCTGGGCCACTTGGGCCACCTGCACCACAGCCACAGCCAGCAGGGTGGCAAGTACCTGCAACAGCCGCCACAGAAGCTGCAGCAGCGGATCCAGTACATCATTGCCATTCCGCTCTCGTACATGCGCCAGTTGCAGCAGCAACAGCAGTTGCAACAGCAGCAGCAACAGCAGCAGCATCAACTGCTGTTGGCCCCGCCACCCACTGGCAGCAGTAGCAGTAGCAGCACCAGCAGCACTGCCTCGCCTTCACCATCGCCATCGCCTTCCTCGCCCCCGCAACCCACGCCCACGGGCAGACATCCGCTGGGGCAGCTGCTGGGTCCGCTGGCTCGCGACCACCAGGGCCAGTACAGACCCTACTACCAGTCGGATGCGCTTAGTGCACCGCTCGCGGGACCCACTGCGCCGCTGATCCACCAGCCCTACCTGCAGATACCCACCAGTCTGCTGATGGCCGCCGCCCAGCAACTGCAGCAGCACCATCACCAGCAGCAGCAGCAACAGCAGCAACAGCAGGTTATGTACGCCAAGGTCGCTGCCCCTGCAGCACCACCCACTTACCAGCCCGCCCAGCTCTTCTATCAGCCAGCGCCCCCATCCTCCCCGGCGCACCACCATCCGCAGCAGCCGCAAATTCAACTGCAGCTGCAGCGGATCTTCCTGCAGCCACCGCAGCCGCAGCAGTCCACCATCTACGCCGAACAGCCAGGACCACTCTATGGTAAGCTGACCAATATTCCGTAGAACTGGACTCACAGTTGCGGTCAAATATCCGTCGTTTTTTAGCTTATGGCAATGGCAATCAAAATTAGTTGGGAGGCAACCTTTGACACAATCTTTTTATATTTTCATAAAGCTAATACTATAAACTAAATGAGGCAATATAAAAAAGCACATTTATCATAGCAAAAGTACCTAATATTATTTATTTATTAGAAAAACAATTCGATTAAAAAAAAAAGCGAAGGAAAGCGAGAATCTATGGTAATTTGGTGTAAAATATTTAGATACAGTATATATTAAGGAAATATTGAGAGTTTCCTTAAAGAAACTAATACAATATCAAAGGATTTTTTAACCTCATCTAAGCCTCTTTTTTTGGTAATTAATCATTATGATTAATAAAAAGAAAGAACCTTTAAAACTAATTTTGGGTAATGCATTTAAGGTGCCATTGTTTAGTTTTGAAAACATTTTAATAGTTGGTCAAGCTCTAACGATCAAAATCAGGCCAAGAACTTTAATAACAAATTGGTGATGTAGTTTTGTAAATCATGAAGTCCTGCTGCACCGAAAATCAAGCTTTCATCTTTATAGTAAATTGACTTTTTTCAAATTATTCATATCGCAACTTACTTACTTATAAATGGCACTTTCTCTGTAATGAGAAACTCACCTTAAAAAATACCCACTATTTACTTTTTTTTAGAGAATTTTTCCTAGTATATGTCGAAAGGAACATACAAAAATATTTTTTTTAAGTTGAGGTTTCCTGTATTATATTAATCACTTGTTTATTGTAAAATAAGTTCTTAAGCCTTCCAATGATTTACATTCATTTCAGTAAAAATAACCTTAGTGTAAAATTTTGGACCGTGATACCAGCATTAAAATCTTATTTATACAAAAAAAAGTCAACGTCATAATTTAAAACATTTCAATGCGTAAAATTCTTTATCGCTGTACTAAATATAACTACAATAGTAATAATATGGTATAAATCTATTATTATTATTTTTTTTTTATGTATGGGAGTAGGCAATAAAACGGAATTTCAAAGTTAGTTTTACAAAACAAAACAAAATCCCACCAAACTTTAAAAGATACTCAAGTGTGAATTCGATTTAAAGAAATTTTGGAGCCATTCAGATAGACTCCTTTCCAGACCACTAGATCAGTGAAAGTATGCTATTTTATTCACCCTATAAAAACTATATAAAATGCAATTTGTTGTACTCCTACAATTCGAATGGGGCAGCTAACAATTTCTCAGCAAACCCGCAAACAGTACTCTGAGTACTGAGCGTAAGTGTGTCTCGTTTAGGCCCCAAATTCGTTGGAATGGGTAGTTAGTGGCAGTCCTCGGGCCTTGGATTGAACCATTGCAACCATTGCACCTGATGTCTAAAGTCTTGTTTTGCTCGTCTCTTTCAGCTTATCCGCTGCAGCAGCAACTCCAGCAGCAATACCCGAAACCGCATCAGCAGCAGCAGCAGACGCTGAAACAGTCACAACAGCAACAGCAGCAACACAAGTACACACCAGCAACGCCAACGGCGCCGACAGCATTGACAACAGCATCGACAACGAGCACGGCAGCAACATCAGAGGCGGCAGCAGCAGCAGCAACAGCAACAGCAACGGCGGCGGCAACAGCAACACGGCAGCAACACTTGCCCGTGGTGCACTACAACCCCATATACGTGCAAGCACCCGCCGAGCAGCAACATCAGCAGCAGCAACAGCATCAACAGCAGCAACATCAATTTGCCATATTGCCACGTTTCAGCAATAACAACCCGAAGGCCGTCTACAACATGGCCCACGAAGCAGCGGGTCCCCTTCACGTGGTCAGATTGTCGCCGGCAAATGGACCGCCGATCCATCACTACCACCATTACCAGCCGGCGTCCGTGCTGCAGCCGCTCTACAGCCACGCCCCGCACCAGTATGTATCGCCCTACGAGGAGGGGCCCAAGTCGTTGGCTTCAGTTTCCGGCTCCGGTTCCGGTTCCGGCTCCGCTTCGCCATCTGTGATGACCGCGGCCTCGCCGGCCATTATACCGTACTTCAGCCATCCGGGTGCCGTGCATTATGGCACACATTTGTATCACCCGGGAGCAGCAATAGCAACAGCACTGGGTGCACCAGCAACAGCAACAGCAACGGCAACAGGAGCAGGCGCAGCAGCAGCAGGACCACGAGCAGCAGGACCAAAGCAACAGTCGACCGCAACAAGTGGGGGGCAGCTGCCAGGTGACGGCAACAATATTGTGAAATATCCCTAAGCGTTCAAGGCAACAATGACAGCAACTGCAGCAGCAACAACAGCAGCAGCACAGCAGCAACATCATCACCTACAGCTAGGATGACTTTGCTTTAAGCACGATTTTGCCACCAGACCATACCCAAATTCATACTTCTTTAAATCTTTGTTTGGATTTCCCATTTGCTATCCGCTGATGCTGCTCCTGTTTTTTCGGTACGCTAATTACGTATTTTACTCAATTTCGAACCCCTTTTATGGTCCTGCTTTTTGTTGTTATGCAAATCTGGTGCCTTGCCTTCAAGTTTGCTTTTCCAACTTTTAATGAGTTTGCCCGCACTCCGGCGCTCATTCGGTTTTTGTGTAAATATTTAAGAAATTTTCCAATAGACTCGCCAAATAAACATTTGCCTAAGCCTACATATGTATATGTTTCCACTGTTTAAGTCGTAGAACTCGTTTGTATTTGTATTTTAATGTTACGTTTACATATATGGATTTCATTTTTTTTGTTGGTACACTTAATAAAGATATATACTCATCTCACATACTTTGATCTGTCTGACACCAGCTTATTGTCGAAACGTTTAAATTGGCACTGAAGGGTTACATAATTATGTTCGCAATTTAATATTTAAATACGTATGCAGTGCCATGTCTACGAAAAGGAATCAGATTGAAAGCGTAACTTGAATCGCACATCGGTTAACTCATTAATCTCATATCCATTAATTGACTTATGTGGCCATTTTCCAATGCACAGAGCGCATTTTTGGTTCAAAATCTAATATAATCTTTATAAAAAACACTAAAGCTTAAAAACTTTAATATATGAACAAATGAACAAATTTTTTAAATTTCTTACAATTTCCTTTTATACAAACTGCGGTTCGGAATGTTTATATACCTTTTTAGCTTTTACTAATATATTTTACCGAATATAATCAAGATGTAGTTCTGATTTACTATTTCAGAGTTACGGACTTAGTTTTATTAAAATAGAACTCCCATAGGAACAATCACAAAAAAAATGTTATTTTTGGTTAAATTTATATAAATAACCACCTAGATTTGAGCATTGTTTACTATTTAAAATTATAATTTTAATTTCATAAAAATCGGAAAACAATTTGAAATACATACCATAGAATCGATCGAAAAATGAATGAAAATTTCACATAGCTTCTTTGATTTTTACCATATACGCATGAAAACCTCAATATTTAAAAGCTGCCAAGATATATAAACGAAGATTGGTTCCTTTCTTGTTACTCATTGTCTTATCAAACTTTTATTAGTTTCCCAAGAGAAAACCTACTGAACATCGGGCAGAAAAAATACCTCGTGCTCCAAAAATTAATACAATTTAAGCTCTGGCGGTCGCTTAAATGAAAAGTGTATTTTTGCAAATATGATAACCTGAGTGGTACGATTGATCGCCCGTCGTGGGTTGCTTCCAATTAAAATGTTTATTAAGACCCAGTATGTACAGTGGTGGTCATGTGGTGCAGCTGTCAGACGAATTTGTGTAACTACAATACCCGTTCAATTTATTTAATAATAAGCCCCTGCATTATGCAGCATTAATTAAAAGCCCTGTCCAAGTGAAAAGCCCTCCGTTCGGAATGCAATAACTATGAAGGCAAGGTTTTAAAAGTGGGTGAATGTTAATGACGAAAGATAAACCATTTCCACTGGATGACGGAAGAGTTTAGAAACAGCACAACTTCGGTGTATTATTTGCCCAGTTCAGGGGACATGGTGCGGTCCATTCAAACCACTTCATCTGCCAAGTGTGTCTTAAAGAAAAATAGAACTCGTCCTTTTCGTTTGTGTATTTGCCCAAAGCTTCAGCTAAAACAAAAATTTTATTTTATAAAAAACGTGTACATAAAGATTTTTTGCGATTTTGTTTACATATTTTATAAGCATTCATAAATTCACTTTAAATAAAATAGAAATTCATCATTTATATTTTAAAGCTATTTATATTTAAAGCTAAATGAAGATGGCTTTCCACGAAGAAACAAAAAAGCTATGGATATATATCTGGCAGGAACAACTGAACTGGGAAGAAACACTGATATTATTTTTTTGTTATTATTATTAAAAATATTGCTTACGACATTCCAGAATTCTCAAATAAATCCTAGACCCTTTGTGAAATCGACAAAAAAAAAACAAAACATTCTTGTACTACCTTTATTATATTCATCATTGACATTTTAAGGCTCTATTATGGAACCATTTGTTCCATTTGCAGGGTATCCTCGAGTTTAATATGAATTAATATGTCGTGAATTCGACGGCTTTTCAGTTTTATTCGAGTGACGTCTTTCGCATTTCGTTCAGCAGAGTGAGCATGGAGTAAGCTCCCTTCACCACCTGCAGTGGATTGCAAGTAATATAATCCAATTAAATGTAAATATAGACAATTCTTGTGCACATACCACCAGAAAGGTCTTCATGCTGATGGGCACTATGACTCCAGAGACCAGGATCATCGGTTTTTGACAGCGCACCAGCATGAGGAGCACCAGGCGCCGGAATTGGATCGACTGGTCCAGCCAATTGCAGCTGTAGACCGCATCCAGCAGGCTTTCGCCCTCCTGGCAGAGGATCTCGGCGGTGTAGCACAGCAGCAGGGTCTCGGTGGTGAAGGCCACCAGCAGGAACAGCATGTTCGCAAACCGCATGACCCCGATTTCCTCGAAGAGCAGAAAGTAACTGATGGTGCACTGGGCGCAGGCCGTGCAGAAGAACTGCAGAAAACAGGTCATCGACAGCGATCGCTCCAGCGACTTGAACAGGCTGCAGTTAAAAGGAAAATTCTATCAGAAACCTTGACTTCTCTATCATAATTATGAAATATTTTTGAATGTTAAAATTTGATAAAAAACGACAGAATATATCATCTGAAGAATTCGCGTTCATGTTATCTTGTGCTATCAATACCCAATTTCATTAAATGTTCGTCCATACCTTCTGAAGAATTCGTGTTTATTTTGTATTCCCATAATTCGTCAACCATGGAGTGTTAAACGCGAATTCTTTAGAATGGGATGGCCCACTTTTGATTAAACGCAACCAAGAGCAGTTAAAAAGAACATAGCTTTCAGGGTACGGCGGTTCTAACACATAATATTCTCGATTTGTATTATTTAATTATTATTATTATTTGTATTATATAAAAACAATTTTTTTTATAAACACTCATTTTTAGCATTTAATAAAAAGAATCATTTTTATGCGCAACTTGATATAATAACACAGAAAACTAAACATATTTTTCAACATAAACATATATATAAACATATTATCAGAATCTGAATCTTATCAGGTTCCTAAATAGGGAAAACAAATATAATCACAGTGTTTTAAGCAATACATTTTGAGAGTTCTTCCGATTTAATTTCTTTTTGTGAAAGCATGTTAATTGGGGACACTTTTTGCCAATTTATCCTACGTAGGTGTTTATTTCTGGAAGCACCTTGAAAGGGTAATTTCCCCGCACTTACTGCAAAATGATCTGGTGGTCCTGGATGTAACCAGCGAGGAGTGCCTGCACCCGATGCGCCGGCAGTGGGTCGTTGTGACCCAGACTGGCAACTCGCCAGGCCAGCGCCTTGGTGTGGGCGCTAAGCAGGAGGAGGTAGGTGCCCGGGTAGGTGCTCGTGGTGAGAACCACCACCGAGGTCTCGATGATGGCGCTCGTGTGGAGGGTGACGGTGGGCAGGTAGGCGGAGAAGCTGCCCGTCCAGTTCCAGGGAATCCAGGAGGGGTACATCAGCGTGGGCTCGCTGGCCAGCCCGATGTAGAGGATGCCGACGACGAGGACGGCCAAAATGCCGCGGACAATGAACTTAAATATGAACTCGGCCCGGGCGACGCCCTCCTCCACGATCTGGACCTCCATGGAGCAGCTCAGCCGGCTGTCCAGGTGCCGGAACACCCGGTGGCTGTGGAGCAGCTCGTCGTGCACCCGGTACACGTTGCATATCTTCAGCATGTAGAGCGTGTGCGGCATGGTCACGCACAGGCTCTCGCAGAAGGTCTCCAGCGAGTTGGACAGCAGGAAGTTCACCGAGAAGGACACCCAGAGGCAGAAATGGAACACCGTGTGCCACACCACCGAGTAGGCACTGTAGTGCCGCCCCCACATGGTGTTCCTGGGCGGCGGATGCAGTCCGATAATCCGAAAGATGCGCCAGTGATACACCAGGGCCCTCGTTGAGTTAACTTCCATGTTGTCTCGCTGCTGGGGAAACTCTTGTGCTCGAGCCATTGCTCAGACCCTTTTATACCCAATCCATCTGCCCATTTATCCACTCAGCCCAATATGCATCTATTCACGCAGTCAGCCGCAAATTATGCAAATTGCTGCAAATTAGACCGAAAAAGTTTGGGCCAGAGGACACCACTTCACGCGGCTCCAGCACAGTCCATTCCGTAAATTACAAGGGCAATAGTTTCACACCGAATGGTCTATTGTGGGCAGGCGCATCTGGACAGCCGTTTCGGCTTGCTAAATTGTTTAAGAAACTGTTTGGAAGCCATCAAATACACAAGCTATTCTTCAAAACATTTTATTTGTATTAAACTATGTATTATATAATTTTATAAAAACACTGGTACATAAAATGGTCTTCTGACTGTGACAAAATTATGGCTTGAACACCGACTTTGGTGCGGGTTTTTTTAGATGGAAACCTAAAATTAAGGAATACAATTTTTCTATTTTTCCCTTTTAAAATTTTTTTTTTACATTTTTATTTAGGATACATGGCTTTACAATAAATGATTATTTTTCTAAATTTTTTGATGTTTCAGATATGCATCACGGCCATGTAAAACGTTATGCATAATTATTAAAAATAACACTTTTTTAATTTTAAGCAACCATAGAACGTATTATAAACCTGATCATTAATTTCAAACGTTCTGAGTAAAAAACGTTTAAAAAGGCATGACAAGAAAGTGAAGTTGTTTACAAATATCTTGAAAATATAAGCAATTTAGAAGAAACTACTCTCGACTGTTTTAAAATATCAAATATAACAAATATTACATAAGCACAATGAATTTTTAATATAAACTACTTGAAAATCACTATGCACTATTTTAAATCTAATATTTTTCACATTTATTAAAATACTTTAAGATCATGCAATTTAATATGCAACGTATTTGATATATTGATTTAATATTAAATTTAAAATATACAATTCCGTAGTCATTTATTTAATTTTACGATTCCATTTTTTTATCAGTGTGCATAACAAATATGTAACCAATATATCCTATATACAAAATCGTATGTTTTTGAAACCCAAATCCTTCATAAAGAGAATCCCTACTGAACCACCCCACCTTTAGTTAATTTCGAACCATAACACTTCTGCGAAACCTGTTCGCCCCACCGCAAGTAAGCCCATTTCGGTTTTGCCTATATTGTTTCACTTTGAGCTACCGCCATGGAAAGGTATCGAGTAGTTCGGGGCAGAGAGGGGTTGATTGCTCGCAGGTGGCGTGTATTCAAATTAATAATGCCAAATTGATTATAAAACATTTGTCAATGGCAATCTGTTGGGGAATGACCCGCCCGGGAATGTCGAGTGTGGGCGGTGGGATCTACGGCGGAATAGAACTCATAGGCAGGCAGGCAGGCAGGCAGGCAGGCAGGCAGGCAGGCAGGCAGGCATCATGATGGAATATGATTGATATTGGGCGGTATAAATTATGAACAACAACGACAGCCGAAGAGGAGTTAGTTGGACCTCGGCGTCCAGGCCAACCTGATCCATCAGGGCAACCTGTCGCGACCTTGGCCGCTCGAAAAAAATAAAGCAAGAGAAAAAGAAAAAGTGCTGCCTAAGCCAAAAGATTTGTTCGCCAAGACGGCATAATTAAATTGGCTGGCTTCCGACCAGGTGCCATCAGCCGAGCAGGGGTCTTCAGGCTTTCGATTCTCATTCAATTATGGCCAATTGGCATACGTCAAATCCAGCCCGTCAAGCGCCATTTTCGGGCCGAGAAGCCTCGCCATTGTCAGCATTTCGGTTCACAATATTCGCATATCGATTCGTTGCCGGGCTAATGCGATTCAATTTAACGCATTTCATTTGAAAATGGAAGTCTATTGCAAATTGCTGGCCAATAGCTATAGGTCAAACCATCTCTATTATTTATTCTGGTCGCAGCCCACGCAGCCAAATGTCAAGATTCGTTTTAATTGATTCGATTCCAGTGCAGTTTTGCCGCGAATCCGGTTTTTTTTTTAAATAAAATCGAACCGAAGGCTTATTTAGTTTTTGTACGGCTTTAATTGAAATAACTTAATCCTAGAAAAAATAATTTCTTTTAAAGCGTTCGGTTTATTTAATTTTTTTAAACGAATTGACAATTCACGTTTTTTCTTTTCACATTTAGGCATAGTTAAATTTTTTTTTTGTATTTTTTAAGGTGTGCTGGGCCAACGGAAATGAGCGATTTGATACTCATTTCCGACAGCATTTAGATTAAAACATATGCAAATACCTTCAGCTAGTTAACTTTTATTTGCAACGCATTAACAAAAGGGAATTAAATATAATGACAAAATAGTTTTGTTCTAACTTGATTCAAAATGACCATATAAATATTTCCCTCAGTAATTAATAAAGAATATTTCGTGCGGATGAGGCTTGTAAAAAAGGTATATTAAAACCATAAAAAACGACATACTCTTTGTGGCCCTCATTTTCAACAATTTTGGAAGTTCATATAATTTGAACTTACATTAATATTACATAAAACAAAAATCACTGGATTTATTTTTTTTATTTGATTTGCTACTGGTACAGGATTATGTTTAAATCCTGGGCTTTTAAAAGAGCTGCCCAGATTTAAGTGGGGAATTCTCCGATCTCAATCAAGTTCCCTTCCATTCAGAGCTGTTTATAGTAGGAAACTCTGCCAAGTTCATCCCACAACACTCGGATGCAGCGGCCCACGCAAAAATTGAGCTATCAAAGCCGGCATGGCCAAACCGTAGCAAAGCCGTCAAGTACGCGCTTATAAATAGCCCGATGCCCAAACAAATATATGAATGAGCCAGTCAGCGAGCGGCTGACTCAATCACTAAAACGATTTTAACTGAAATCGAGCAAGTCAAGCGCAATTCTTAAAAAGAGCGAAAAGTCAACAACAAGCTTGTCAATAGAAACACTTTTTAGACTGACAAACAGGCCAAACAAAACATGGGAACCAAATTTAAAGAAATTATGGAAATTTAAATAAATATTTTAAATATTAAATTAAGAACCTGTAAGCTTTTTCAAAAAGGTACTAAACTTATTCGGAGTCTTAAATTCTCAGACTAATTTCCAATGTTTGATGATTTCTCATCCGTTTCTCTGTAAAATAATTACTCAAATAGTCTGTTTGAATCTTTTGAATTCTTTATCCTTTGAAATTAAACCTGTTATCTACCGATCCTCAAATAAACAAACTAAATTAGTAGGTAAATTTCGGTTGAATACAGGGTATCCCTCGAGGTGTGTTTTAAAGTTGCTATAAAGTTGCTATAACATTCATATGAATAAAGTGGTCATGCACAAATAAACCCCAATATTAGGGCTATTTTTTTAATAACATTTTTTTTAATATCTATAAGAATATTTAATTATTTCCATTTATCATGAGCTTTGCTCATGTAAATTAATTCTACCATCAATCAGTTTTGGCCCAAAGCGACCTATTTCAAACTTTGAAATAAGCGGAGAAATATTATCGGAAAATTGTAAAATAAATCACCAAAATAAAATGATTTGTTGTAGATGTCAGGTACTTGTTAAACATAAAACTATAATTTGTTTTCAGTGTGAATGAAAGGGATTGTGGTCGGGGGGAGGGGGATAAAGAATAGGGTATAGGGGATGCGGGGGAAGGAAGGTGAGCAGCTGAGAGATGACGCCAACGTCGCTCAGCTGATTCTCACCTGAGTCAAGAGCAGCGGACTTATAAATAGCCCAAGCTCGTCTAGAAGCCGACTCAGTTGAAATCGAACAGTACCAAGTGGAAAACGGAACCATTATCGAACTTACACATTTTTTGTTTTTGTTTTTTATTTTACGTTGTTTGTTTGCTCGACGAATTTCGTCAGTAGTGCAAGTGTGTTCTAAGAACTTCAATCCCAAAATGGTGAGTTGCTGTGGGAAAATCCATATAAATACGCAGCTTAGGAGAAACTGTGTCAAATGTTCTTAAAAATCGTTGTTGTCAAAGATTAGTTATTTTTTAATAAATATTATATATTATTTTAGTTTAGTAAAAATGCCGGCGAACATTCACAATTAAACACAATATTTTTGTGAATTAAAGAGTATATAAATTTGAACCGCCCCAAGTTAACTTTGTTTATTGTTTTATATCTGTTTCTTTAATGCTCAAAGAAATTACGCACAAAGGTAAATAAAAAATGCAATCAGGTACTGCTACGTGAATGGAATATTAAAGTGGGTAACAGCACGTTAAACCAATGCAAACATGATACAAAATAGCCCTGGCAACTAAAGGATTGCCCCTCTGTTAATTGAGAACTTGAGTTTTGGTCGTAATGTTTACTTCCGGCTAGCCAGACACAATGTCTTATTTCAATTAGTGTTCGATGTTAAACGCTGGATACCCTAGGCGAATCTTTATTCAGCCAGGAACTTGAGTTTAGTAAGCGAAATGTGCAGATATAAACCATGACACAGAAAACCAAAAGAAGATAAGTGTAAATAAATGTAAACAAGTGGTTGCAAACTTACTTTTTGAAATATATTTTTGTATTTCATAAACTTTATACAAGCTAAGAAAAGATCTTCACTCCCACATAAAGTTAGCTAAGCAACTAATTTTTAAAAGTGATTTTTATTTGCTTTTTGTCTTTTCATTCTTTATTATGGAAGATCAATCACTCAAACTTTTTTTAAGCTGGGCAGGTAAATAACAAACCCATTATTCATTTGGCATTTTAAAAAGCTAGAAACCAATAAACATTAGGCACTCGAAGTGGTTTTTTTTTGTACCCACATTTCTAAGGTATGCAGTTTGGATTTTAAAAGAGGAAACGTCAATATCTTATTTGGTCATATCTTAACGTGTAGCCGACTATTGTGTTACTTCTTGCTTAAAAAATGTTTTTTTTTAAATATTTTGCTTAAATAAACTTATTATAAACAATTTAGGAATAGCCACTTGAACGACTTCCTTTGAACAATGTAGTCGGATTACAAATTCCCCAACTGGATATACAAATTA